TCGAAACCCAACTTTTCTTCGCATATCCATGTTTTTTCATCTTTAGTTAAGAATATAGGTGTGAATATATATTCATATATACAGCATGTAGATTAGAGCCTATGCAAAAATTTCTTCCAGCTCTGATGCTGCCTGCCAACTGACACTACGGACGAAAGCCTAGCCCATTTCTAGCTGAAACGTGAGAGGATGTTTCGAACTGTCTCAACCCGAACGTCGTAATAACTTCAAGTGGTTGCAGAACATAGGGAACCAGCCGTTGTCTTTTAGTGTAATCGACCTACGCACAAGTTGACATAATGGGACCTCTTGATGTTTCATTGACTCGTTGGCGGGATTGTTCGCTCAAGTATGGCTTTTTAAGAAAGTCCTCTCTATCCTGATAGTGCCTCCATCACTTAACTTTCGTGCCAGAAAGGAGTAATCTCTGCATTGGTTAATCCACTGGAGGACAGGCTGACAGAGAAGCCCATTGTCATCATCTGAATCCCGCTGAAAAATGACTACTTTTGGGAATAAATTCTGGATTCTTACTCCTTGGGAGTATAAATTACACTTTCATCCAACAGCACTACTAAAACTATAAAACTAAAATAGACTGCGACCAAACAGAAGGCCACACCATCTTAGTCTTCTCATCTACTATAAATTAGATGGTCTTTATTAGCAGGGTGTATGTTTTAAGTAAGCTTAATAGACATGATGAGACTAATTGCATCCTCACAGCTGACTCGCGCCGCTAATCCCGACAAGGCCTACTTGTCCATCTTCGCTAGAATTCATGTAATTTAACAAATTACTCGTGGCTCTATTCACACTTGCATAGGGCACATCCACTTAGGTGGCCCAACACGTACACACGTTGAAGGAAGGCGATTGGTCCGAGGCGTAATTGCCAAACAGACCGACGTTTCAGGCCTCTGGGCACGGCCAAAGAATTACCCTGGTTCGTTGTCATATCTGGGCAGACGACTTTCTATTCTATGCCTTTGAGGGCTTAGACTGGATTCCACTTTGGTTTTGCCACGATGTTCAGGTTTACACAGTCCACACGACATTCTCCTTCATCCGTCAATCCCAGTGACAGACATCATCAGACCCTGAACTCATTCTTGTAAAAGCTTCAACTTAACGCTAGGTTAGGAAGAATCATGCTTAATCGCTTATATTAATATGATTCAGAGCCAACTAAATAATTCGACATCTTTCTATCTATGTCCTTAGTGTGAATATATGTATATATATATATAAACATAAATGCTAACAATTATATATATAATGATCTTTGGTATTATATGATGTATAAATATATATAGATCTATGAATTAACCAAAACCCAAAAAGATAAATAGTAAAAATAATAAGTGTATATATATATATAAATTCACAACTAAATATATAAACGGATATATCATTATTTCGTTAATTGCTTTTCATATTAATAAATTACTATATATATATATATATAAGCAATACCAAAGATAATTATATATATAATCGTAGCATTTATGCTTATATATATATTCACACTAAGGACATAGATAGGAAGATGTTAAATTATTTGGTTGGCTCTCACTCATAAATCTAAGCAGTTAAGCATGATTCTTTTTAGACAATGATATATGAATATACAAATTTTTTGTATTTAGATTTATTTATTTTTGAATTATATATATGTATACATTTACCATTAAGGATATAGATAGATAGATATATAATTATTTTTCCATATATATATATATATATATATATATAATTAATTTTTCATTTATTACCTTTTTTGTCCCTTCGACACACACACATGCAGAATGGCCATCTGGCTCCCAGCTTCCCGACGGGTCCCATTACCTCGGTCGCCAACGGAGACGCCCAGTTGCTTTTAGTCTGTGAAGAGGACGAGGGGGAGACTCAGGCTACCCTGCGTCCATTGAAACGACGTCCTCACCTCTTGCACCCCAGCCATGGACGTTGGGATGCCTCGACGACTACCATCTCCGTGGGCGAAGAGAACGGTGCCAGCCATGCGAGGGCAGAACAAGAGGCACTGTTCAATTGCAACAAGGCTGATGAGAATGTGATCATCCAGGCCACGGATGGCAGCGCGATTGCGGACTCCGTTACCGAATCCTTGAATCTCGGGCAAGGGAGAGAGCTCACCGGTACTGACGCCGAGGCTGATGAATGGACAAGGGATGCAATCGAGTCTTCTGGAGCTGGCGAGGCGGTTCACATGAATGGTCTTGCGCCTGGTGCCTCTTACGACGACCCAAATCTGGACCAGTGGCAGACGCTTTCCAGTGAGCCCATCGCCCTGGTGGCCACGGCCTCAAAGCGCAAGAGTGCCGAACTCTTGCACACGCTAATCACTTCGGCCCCGATGACGAACGGCGCCGGAGAGGAGATCGAGCTGGACCAGCTTTGTCACCGACCTCAGGTGAGCCTCTCCTGATGCCGATAACTCGTCGACAGCCAACCCAAAAGGGCTATTTTATGCGACTGCGCTGCTCATATTCGCTGGGTCTGTCCATCCTGTATCAGAGAGTGATTCATGCTAGAACACGATTTGTTGAAAACGGAAAGATGAATGACTAGTAAAAGAGAATAACAGAACTTTCTTACCGGGTTTGAGGCTTTAAGTCGTTCGATTTAACTTGGGCGACGGCTGTAAGGAATTGCTAACCGGAAACCGAAGGAGGACTGTCTCGAAGTTGTGACTATCTTAGTCTGCCAAGAAGACATCGGCTCATCGCCATGCAGCTCAGATGAATCCATGCTTTGTTTTCGCCCGTCCCCTCCGTGACAAACATCGTCAGAACAAGAAAAGCACCATTCACAAAAAATTCACACAAACACAACCCTTCTTCCATTCACCTCTTCAAACGAAATGAAAGGTTCACCAACATCTATTTACTGAGGGATTTTTCGAAACCCAGCTCTTTTTTATGTGAAGGCCTACGAGCCCTTAAATTATGGCGTTCCAACTATTCGTCTTTTCAACTTCTGGTTGTGCCTAGATGATGCGGAAATTGACTCTGTCGGTGATTCAGCTAAAGCGATTCAACTTTACATAGTACCTCGGACATCAATCCACGGTTAATACTTCCTCTTCCTGCCTCCCTTGGCGATCGCCATGGACATAAATGCATTTTCGTTGGTCGTTGTCACGATTTTGCATAGCAGCTATCTCAGGCCTAATTGTGACAGAGATGGCCCAGTCTTGACTGTCTTCTGTAATATACCATTATCGGCTCTGCAAAAGATGAAACCGATGCGAAAACTTGTATTTCGCATTACATTTCACACCGAACTGGGAGAAGCCCTTTGGGATATATGGAGTGCCAATGCAAAAATCGAGCCTTATCTTCATCCTTTCTGTCACAGTCTCTTTCGGGACAACACTAAAACTAGCAGAAACTGTACAATCTTGCAATGCATTTTTTTCCTCATTGGAATGTCGAATAGTCTCTGGATTTCATTCATCATACTCTGTTATTATAAAGCAGTCAACTAGTGAATTGTCGTTTAAAGCCACAAACATTATACTATTTAATGGACTAACCGTGTTTGATTGTTTAGATTTATTTTCAATCCTTATCCTTCAACAGCTTACGTCCTCGTGATTTTACTCACCACTGAGGACAACCGATTTACCTCATTTTGAGAATGTAGCTTTTCTGATTGATCATACTGCTATACCTACAAGCTTTTGTATGTATATCACATTGAAAGGATCGGTGCCTATTGAGCATCAAGTTGACTCAAGCACATTTGGTAACGGTAGACAGGGTTGCTAGTTTGGGTGAGCTTCTTCACAGCATAATCTCAGATGGATCTCAAATCAAAGACGCTCTGTTAGCATTACTAGCTTGTTCAAATAGCATTTTTTTGAATATCAACTGCCACTTCTTTATTCTAATGATCTGAATCAACTTTTTCTCAGTGGTTCTATCCTTCCCTACATTAATCTCAGTCCACGTAAGGCACCATGACCATCTCGACTATTATGATGGTGGTTGATTGCTTT